CCTTATGAAGTAGGTGTTATATTTGTTCACTTTATTTTATTTTATTCTTTTGAGGTGGAGTCTCACTCTGTTGCCCAGGCTGGAGTGCAGTAAAACAATCTTGGCTCACTGCAATCTCCACCTCCCGGGTTTAAGCAGGTATCCCACCTCAGCCTCCCAAGTAGCTGGAACCACAGGCATGTGCTACCATGCCAAGCTATTATTTTTATTTTTAGTAGAGATGGGATTTCACCATGTTGGCCAGGCTGGTCTTGAACTCCTAACCTCAGGTGATCTGCCCGCCTTGGCCTCCCAAAGTGCCAGGATTATAGGCATGAGCCACCACACCCAGCCTTAGGTGTTATATTTGTTTCAGAGATGAGGAAACTGAGGAAAACACGAATTAGCCAAGCTGAGATTCAAACCCAGGCCTTACTTACTCCAGGGCGCAAACTTTAACCAAAAAAGATGATAACCAGCTCTCAGAGTCAACGGGAAAAAATTCAAGTGAAAAACTCTCCTGAAAGCCAGAGAGACACAAGGGTTAACAGTCTTGCGGAGTCCTTGTTTAATGTACTTAAACAGCAGATTCCTTCCAGAAGCCACATGGCTGCTTGTAACAGTTGAGAAATCCATTAGCCAGTTATTAATGACAAGATCTAAACCCTTCCAAGGGAGAGAGCCAAGAAATGCATTTAATACCCTCTTTTCTGAGGTAATGGCAGCAGAGCCTCTCTCAACCACGGGTTCTGTGCACAGAACAGTGGTGTGGTCCTTCAAAAACCCACAGAGGCAATTTCATCCCCAGATTGGGACTCCCTAGAGATACCCCAAACCACACCCTCATCAGACACAAGAAAATCACTTCTCTCTCTCCTTTCCACCATGACACTTCCAGCCTCCCCCAGGGAAGGAGTTCTCTAGACAGTAGCACAACCCAATTCAGACCCCTGTCCCTGCAGGTAGCAGGTCCCTTCCCCTCACTGCAGCCTCTGGTGATACATGATCTCACCAGCCATCTGACACTGCACCCCGAAACCTCAGCTGTTGGAAAGGTCATTCCCCTATTCCTGGCTTGGCCAAGTTTCTGATTGAATTGTACAACTGTGACTGTCACTGCCTCTGGCCTCAAGGAGCCAGTCTTCTGTCACACAGCCATCCTGGGTGTATCCCACTTCAGCCTTGGCCTGACTCCAGCCATGCCCAAGGCAGCTGCAGGCCATCCTGTCCTAGGGCTGGACAGCAGTGCGCTGGATAGACCAGTTCTTCCCATCTCTAAGGACATGCTGTTCCTAGTCCCCACAAGACAGTCCTTGTCTCCCCCAGAGGCTGAGAAGCCCTCTTCTTTCTTCTTTGCCTAAAGGGGACAAATGATATGCTTAGATTCGTCCATTCATTCAGCATTCATCTGTATCTCAGATGCCTGCTGAGCATGAGTCCCATGCTAGCTCAGTGGAGAACACGGGATGACCTGCCCCTCTCCTGGCCCACCCAGAGAGAGGCAGAGGACTCGAGAGGGATCACAGGCAGGACTGTCCATCCCCATCCCAGCTCCATTCCCATCACTTACCTCTCTGTCTGTGCC